GAAATTGCGGTTTGGGGCCATTCTTGAAGTAACGCAGTACGCACGATAGTGGTTACCCGGCGAGTGCGTTGAGGCGCAGCTGGGTTAAAGCCCACTGCACCGCAGATGCCCCATTGCTCTCCTATGTCACGAGGCGGTCCGCTTCGGACTGCAGCTGCTGCGTTGAGTGCCGGGATCCAAGTCTGGGACCCTCAGTTGCTGATTTACGAGGAATTGCAGTTGATATCTTGTCATCATGCAGTTGCTTCCGTACTAAGCGGACAGTCTGAGCTGGAGCCCCAATGCAGTAGCTACTCTAAAACCTTGTAGGGTCTTAAATTTTCAGGCTGCTGGACGGCTTCCAGAAACGATGCAGCTCTGGATGGCGTGATGGTGTCAACTGCTTCATGTGCCGCAGATTCAGAAAAGATTGTTTGGAGGAGCTCCAGGAAGCATTCCACTGCATCGTGTCGTTCAACCAGGCGTGTCCCGGAGTGCTTTTAGCCGTCGCTGCTTCGTGGCCGCATAGACGTGGCGCATGGCTGCGTCTAAGATGGATTGGCGTTTCGGACCAGGGTTTCGGACTTCCATTGATGAAGTTCACGGTGTCTTGAAGCGTTCCGTGCATGTTTTTTTTTTTTTTTTGACCGGCTGTTTCGAAGTGTGTACGAGAGTCAGGTTAAGGCAGGGGCTGCTGCAGCCGACTCTATTGGCATGAGGACCTTGATAAGCGGAGAGTTCTACCCCAATTCACACTTGACATTGAAGATAACTTCCCCGGCCTCAACGCCTTTCAGCTTCGGCTAACGAATTTCTCCTACCTTGAGATTTTAATTTGCCGCGCCGCGCCACTCTCGTAGAAAGGTGCTTCTTAGCTGGTTTCTGTGTTGACATGAAATAGCTATTATGTGTAGGACGCTTCATAATATACGGCACCTTCGCAACTGTGCTTGGTTACGGAGGCTTAAGACCGCCCCACACTGGACCTCGCATGCGGGTTGCGAGTTTGCGGATTTTGAATTTGCGGGCATAATACTAATTCGTAGTGATTAAATCGTTCCCATATGGTTACTTCATGAATGCAGTGAAGCCGGTGCACCTTCAGAAACTTACATATCGTCGCAATACCAGCGCAACGAACCAAAATTCAACTCCAACGAAAAACTCTCAGACCTCGCAGCGAGGAAAATCGAAAGTTGACTCAAAATCTACTTTTGGAATGCGATGCAAGGTCGCTCGCAAGCTAAAAACATACAGACTCGCTTGTTAGATGGTAGTGTGGCACACTCAGCTTAGGTTTTATTATTTGATTTTGAAGTAACCCAAATACCCAAAAACTCGCAACCCGCATGCGAGGTCCGGTGTGGGGCGGCCTTAAACAATTCCAGTTGCGGCTTTATGATACGGCTTTATTCTGCTTCGTAGTTTGAAGGAGTCAGGGGGGCGACACGGCTATTCGCGCAATGTATTCAGTTGTGGGCCGCGCGGGGCCTCGCGATGACGCGGCTGGAGGCAACTGCTCAGCGCGCTAGGATACTTCTGGCGGGGCCGGGCGCTGAACGGTGTGCAATGAATGGGTTATGGGCGGGCAGACAGAGATGAGGTATTGAATTTTAATTGACATTAGCAATCGGGTGGGGAAGGAGAACGTTTCTAATCGAGCTTGAGATGGGGAAAGCCGAAAATGTCACGATCAGCTCAAAGCTCCGACAGGGCCGGGTGCCGTACCATGTGTAGTATCTTTAGGCGGGCAGATAGAGATGAGTTATTGGATTTAAATTCACCTTACCATCGGTTTCTGGTGGGGTTTGAAGACGTTTTTAGTCGAGCTCGGGGTGGGTCAGCCCACTGGCGGATCCAGGGGAAGGCATTTGGGGCAAATTTCATCCCCCACAACCGGGGCAGCGGCCAGCGCCCGATATCGCTTTTCGAGAATAAAAGAAGCTGCACAACTTTCCTGAGGAAATGTTGGTTAATCACACTGCACAGCAATGCGCAAGGAATCGAAATCCGAGTTTCTTAAAGGGACAGTATCACCATTTTGATGAAATTTGACATTGCATAGGCCCCACCTTTCTGGTCCGGGAACTGAAGACCGATCCTCGAAGTTCCACACCGTTATCCCGCTATCGCCGCTCAAAGTACGAAAGGTGTACTATACTTTGAATCGTGCTTTACTATCTTCACTGTTTAAATGTTTGCGCCGTTTTGAATTGACCGCCAGTAATAAAACTTTACCCTGGTCATTTCATCAAATTTTATAAAGCCAAAACGTTTTTCGCACTTATTCATCACCGTTAAATTCATTAAATAGTCGAAGGCAATTTCCGCTGTTTCCTTCGGATTCTAGCGGCTCAACAAAGGAATTCCTCCAGCTTCAATCACAATCTCCCTCCAATGTATGACGTATATGTATGACGTCATCTGATCTGCTAAAAGTACTTAACATTTACTTCAAGTACGAGAATATTGTCACGTAATATCTTCTGGGCAATACCTAATGCTGCCTTTCCCTAACGACAACTCAATCAGAAGAGCGTAATCAGAATCAGGTAAGCGTAGCGTCAATAATGTATTATCTGCGCCAGTTCTGTAGTAATTTCGCAGGCTTCCAAAGTGGCGGCCATGCTTGAAGTGGTGGTTCGCTCATGAAAATGACTCGCTCATGAAAAAATATTTTTCACCGAGTTCGGTCCTCAAACTATGTTTTTCTGATAAGAAATGCTAGTAAAAAAATCAGCTCCATACATTGATTTTTTTTTTTGGATGATACTGTCCCTTTAAATTAATTCGGAGAAACCTTTTTGGGGCAAGCCCCCGCAGTGTCCAAGATCCTTCGCTTCCTGGATCCGCCAGTTGTGAATAAGTCACGGTCGATACCGAGGTTCGGAGGGACAAGGCGCTGTATTACGTTGTACCTACAATGAAGAGGTGGACAGACACCTAACCCCACATCCTACTGCTATATCCGTGCTTCTGTGGGTGAAGCACGTTGAAGCATCACGGAGTCCCACAGGACCTGCGAGTCCACGAGGTGGCCGCTTTGGCCGCCGGGTAGGTACTGCAGCTCCCTGGAGTTCCTGGGACCGATGGTAAAACAACAGCTCCGGCGGTGCCCCTATGGGCCGTAGTGTTTAGTGCATTCCCGTAATGTAGAGATCATATCCTCAATGATCTCCATTACGATTTTATATTCCTAAACAATATGACAGACCAATTATGCTTGCCTACGTTAAGGCATTACCTCTGATGGTTATACGCTCAGTACAACATGTGTTGTCTGTCAAACAACAGTCGACTACGGGATCCCTTCTCATGATCTCATAAACCATCGGTTGTCAATTCACCCACCCCGTTTCCCTAAAAATAGACGGTCGGATTCGGCCTGGGTCCCTACGACCCCTCTAGATTCGCCAGAGACGGGATCGGGTCGCCGTTATTGCGCCCGTCTTAGTGTCTTTAGATACATAGACAGCTTCGACCACGGACGTCGGACGGGGTGATCGTTCCACGAATGTACGCACCATCCAGGCCTAGGATGCATTGAAGTTTAAAAGAATGCAGTCTGTAGATCAATCAACATAACAATGGTGGTATGCAACCACATTAAATATCTCCCCGGCTCCCGCAACGTTCCAACGCCCCTCCGTTATGCATTCGCGTTATATGTCCACCGAGCCGGCCTGCCTCCAACGACGTCATCGGCCGGCCGGCGGCGTTCAAGGTCAAACGGCTGGTGTCCTTACCTGGAGTTCTGTAGCCTTGGAAAGAGTGTGAAATGTGAATTACGGAAAGTGTAATTCATGGCAGAGCTTTTTATCGATGCTCTTGAAAGAAAAAAAAGTATGTGACGACCAGGGGCGGCGCCACGGATTTTTGCCAGGGGTGGCAAGCCAAAGTAAAGGCCCTCTTTAAAAGAGGGCCTCCAGCTTCTTCCCGATTTCAACTTCTGTGATGTCCTGAGGACAGCGGAGAAGCAGTTCCTCAATGTCGATCAGCATCCTGAAGCCTGGCTAGTCGAAGCGGCGGATGAACACATTCGCATGAGGTGCTAACCGGAACTGAGAAGTCTCACCCTGCTTCAATACACCAAGGAACCGCAGGACCACGCTTGCCGCCCGGAAATCAAACTGAATTGACTGACTCCAATGCTATAAATTTACCCCAGGTTCGCTGTCAGATGATCGTCATATTTGCCTACACGCAGCAGAAAAAGCAAGGCTTTCAAATCTGCTTGCAATTGAATAAACTGCACAGGGAATCCTGTGTCGGGGAGGGGCCTCATGTGACCTGTCGCCTGTGTCGGGGAGGGGCCTCATGTGACCTGTCGCCTGTGTCGGCAAGGGGCCTCATATGTCGGCACAGGGCACTAGCGGATCCATGAGGGTGGCAGCACGGTATATAGAGAACTAGGTAAAACCGGTTCGAAATTACAACACTAAGGTATTTTGACCACTATTTTCAGCTGACCCTTTAAAGGGACCCTCCCACCTTCAAAAAAGTTAATGAATTGGCATGAAAGTGATGTCGCTCGGTTCAGAAAGAGCAAAAATGAATATCTACCAAATTTCATCGAAAAATATTCACCGGTTTTCAAGATATTAGACTTTTACTTTTGTTTACTTTTTGGGATCTCCGCTGTTCCTAGCGACTTTATTTGAAAGTGCGGCATTTGTTGCGCGCAAAGCAGCATATACTACCGCGTGCTGCCAAACGTTTTAGTAAAAGATTTAAAAATCGTTAGATCTCTGCTGACGTCACAAATTCTAAGGGGGCATACCAATGCATTAGCCCCTTAGAATCCGAAAACTGCAAGTTTGAAATTCCATATCTCCGAATTAAAGCATTTTTCGATGTTGTGAATGCCCAAACCGGTATTTTCAGGCCATGGCCACCAATTTGGCTATCTCAACTCAAAACTAATGTTAAGGTGGGAGGGTCCCTTTAAGTCTAAAAAAGAGAACTAAGCAACAAATTCCAACCGTAGTTGGAATTTGTGATGTCGACGTCTTTCCTGATCGAAAGACGTCGCTTTAGGAGCCACATCCGACGGGCGTAGCATCAAAACAATGGCCAACAGCGTGATAGTTTTCATGCGCAGTTGCTTCAGCGTCAACTCATCATTACACGGCCACGAGCGGAACAGGCGAGTGAACGCGGACACATCCATGACACGGGATCGACTCATTGGCACCTCTGTTCCACACTTGACGAGCGCTTGGCACAGCCGGGAAATATATGAGTCTGATAGCAAGTTTGTTTCACCACATGCCTCATAAACTGCTCCTAACGCTGCGGATATGCATCGCAACGTGGAATGCGGCCTATCTGAAGACTTGCACCGCGACAGCAGAAAATCGGCCAAAATCGCCGTATCCTCCGGGGGAAATCGGACAGCACGATTGACACAAAAATCATGACAGTCTTGAATATAGCGATTATACGTGAGCTGCGTGGAATCTGCCAGGCATAGTGTCACTAAACTAGTAGCGGTATGCGACCAGCCGCGCGCGCTCAGTTGCGTGCGCCACAAATCCGCCAGGCGTACAGCCTCCAGCGCGGGTTCCTGTGTGGTTCGATCGTCTCGTAGCCCGGCAGCAGCGGCACGCATGCTCGGACTACCGGCGGCAGCCGCAGTGGCGGGGCGATGCTCATGCGTCTCAGCCTGTCCATCCAGGGCTGCGCCGGCCAGAACGGTGCTATCAGCGTCGCCACGGCTCGATACGCTTCGATCGTGTCCAGAACGCGCGGTATCAGTCTGAAAGGCGGGTTTACGAAATTGTTGTGCTCGGCCCAGTCCGGCTGACCCAGCGCATCTACCCCTGCTGTCCCCGGGTCTGAGAACCGACTGTTGTACACGGGTAGGAGCGCCGTCGTACAAGTTGCGAAACGATCGATGGAATGGGGCCCAAACATCCGATCGAGCTGCCGGAAAACCTCTGGGTGTAAGTACCACTCGTGACGGAGCGGCAGCCGGGATAGTGCGTCCGGCTGCACGTTCGACTCGCCGCTGATGTGATGTGCCGTCAGCATCACGTGATTCTGAAAGGCAAAAGACCAAATTGCCTGAGAAATGGCGTCTAAACGCACGTCTGCAGAGCCAAATTTATTTATTAATGCGACCGTCGTGACGTTGTCTGAGAGAACCTCGACATTTTTATCCGCAATATACTCTTTCAACGAGCACAATGACAAATATACAGCTAAAAGCTCCCGAAAGTTGGACGATTCGTGGCTCACCGAGACGGTCCAAAATCCGGAAGCGGCTTTGCCCGCCGGATCGGAGAGCAGCGCTCCCCAGCCGGAAGCCGACGCGTCCGTGCTCAACTGCACATCGAACGGTGCCGGCGGCAGCAGCACCCTGCCGTTCCAGCCGTCCAGCGACTCGATCCACCACCGCAAGTCCGCTACTGCCTCGTCCGTCCACAGCAGCAAGTCTTCCCACGATCGCCTGGAATTTAAAAGCCGATAAACGTTCCGCAGCTTCAGCTTGCAAGGAAACACCGCCGCCAGCATGCTGATGCAGCGTCCTGCTATGCGAGCTAAAACTCGAGCTGAAATATGTGTCCGTTTCAGCGCGCGAGAAATATCCTGCTTTAGTTTTGCAACCTTCGATTTAGGAACGGTAATAACCGGCGGCCGGTCAGCGGCTGCGCAGCGGATATCAAAACCCAGGTAGGTAACCTGCTCGGAAGGCTCGAGCGACGACTTCTGACTATTTATATGCAGTCCCAGCGCGCGAAAAGTATCCATGCAAATTTGCAAGTGCTGCGATATCTGTGACTTGGGAGCGGCCAGTAAAAAATCGTCAACATACGCCATGATTGACATGTGATGATCGCGCCTCAGGTATTCTATCACGACTCGAATGCACTTGTGAAAATAATACGGAGAATTGGCCCAGCCGAACGGCAAACGATTCCAGACGAACCAGCGCCCTCCGTACGCGAAGCCGAGGTACTTTCTAAACGACGGATGAACGGGAAAATGGTAGAACCCATCTTTTAGATCTATAGTAACTGCGCACTCGTTATCTCGCATAACTTCGGCAAGCACAGACACGTTCTCAGAAGAAAAATGCGGGACATCACAATGTGCATTAATATATCTCAGATCACATATCAGACGATGCTTACCATTCTTTTTCGGAACAACTTTCAGCGCTGAGACACACAACGGCACATCATGAACCTCCGACACAACACCTTTTTGCACCAAATCGGACAGTTCAGCATCGAGAAACCTACGCTGAGCACTATCAAATGAGGGATTCTGAAACAATCGCGGCTCTGGCTCGGACGAGAACGGAATACGCACACCATTTGCAATCCAGTCTGTCACTACACTGTTAGCGCCGATGCGCTCCCACGCTGCTACGTTGAGCCCCATTGTTCACACGCGTAGAACAGACTCCGGTCAGTTATCATATGTCACTCCCGAGCCCCTCCCGGGCTGACCTCGTCCACGAGACAGGTCGAGGTCAAACCGGTCACGTGGCTGACCCCAGTCCGCCGGCTGGAACCCTGGACCGCCACCCCGCCGGGGGCCGTACTGGAAGCCGCGGCCGGGCCCGCGGGCGCCTCGCCACGCCGGGAAAGATCCCCGGCCACGTGATCCACTGACCTGGTGCGATTGCCGAGCCCCGGCGATGGTCACGGCTCGCTGAAGGTTCTCGAGGGAGTTCGGCGTGAAAGCTGCCGGATTTTGCTGTAGCGTAGAAAACAGCTTTGCCGTCCCGTCGTCGAACTGGGCTGATACCAGAAGTTGCGTGTACTCCTCCTGCAGGTAACGCAGGTGTGCCAGGCTGACAGCCGATACCTGGTTGAGCGCCGCGTCCTCCGGATCGCAGGCGGACAGGAGCTTGAGTACCGTCTCCTGATAGCGCGCCGACTTCTGTATGATGTTGAATCTCGGCAGGTCTGCCCTGCTGACGCCCGCACGACTGTCGCCAACCAACAGGTCTGGCGGTAGCTTCACCTTGGCGACGCTGTCGCGAATGGCCCGAAATTCGGCCTGCACTTCGCTGAATGAACCCAGCACGGCACTTGGCATCACTTGATGCTGCTGCTCGTCAGGGACGACCTGTCGACGACCGACATTGTCGTCTTTATCGCTTTGCTCTGTGCACTGAGAAGCACTTAGCTGTTTCGAGATCTTCTCGACGAGACCCTCGAGCCGGTCAAACCTCTCTGTGATAGAGGCCACCTGACACTTGAGCTCCTCCACTTCCGCCATCCGCACGGATTGGCTCGTAGCCGCCTCGAATACCGGCGGCTACTCACTGCTCACTGCGGACGTGACTCGGCGGAGCACGCGCCCAGACTGACCCGGCGAGCGGTCAGGTCACCGCCGCTCGCCGGGCCAGCGCCGCCCGTGTCGGGCGCCAGCAACGTTGGTTTTCTGAAATGAGTTTTATTATTTGTATATATATTTTTGATTTATGATCAGAGAGCACGCCATGTATGAATCTGCGAAGCATTAACGAAAATAAATTGTTGGCTATCTCCGCCATTTCAAAAATTATATATCTAAAGTTGCAAGGATTGTTCATCGACAAGATTGATTTTTCACAATCAATATTTAAAATTAAAGGACAAAAAGTAATATTAGAGGCCAACTCACTTTTGTTGAATTTCGAAATTACCATGGTTCTGAGCTGTTCAGCCTACCCGACCTGCCAATGCTCTACCATGAATTGTCGAGTAATTTCAGTGACTTGGGGCTTAAATTATGGTCAATAAATATCAAAATTAAATTATCTTTCAGATTTTGGGTGTCTCGTTGCCTTTTTAATGTTACAAACTGCATTTATTTGACGTTGATTACATAGCCAGCATTGTTGTCCATGGTCACAATGCTCCACTAAATATAATATTTCTAAAGAATGAAGTCGAGTTGGGGTCTAAAAAAAACACCAACATATACGAATTTGCATACACTATAACATATCCAAATATTGAAACGAAACAAACGTTGGAACTTTAACCAATCTGCTTCCGAATCTAAAACTTAGAATTTATGGTACTGAACAGTTCTGAACAAAAACATTGATATTTGGTAAATATGTCAAGAGTGAGCTTGCAAAATGACTTCATCAAAATGAAAATTTTGTTTTCTTTCCAAATATGCATGTTTTATTGCAGTTGTGGTGTTGTATTGCATATTTTTTTGTCTAGAATGTACTAGGTTTCTTGCTGCTAAAGGTCACACTGTGACACTTAAAGGAAATAGTTCACTTTCACGAATTTTTTTTTTTGCAATGGATTTGTGATTTTTTATGTTCAAAATGATCAGCAAAGAAAATAAAACCTTTTTACAACAAAAGATTATTTTCTATATTTTTGATATAGGAAGAACTTTTCAGTTTCTGTAAGGCACACGCGATCCAGTATGAAAAGAGCATGGGTCCCGAAAATTCTTCAGAAACTAGAGAAATTATCGCGGCCACCGGCATTTGGGCGATCTGCTCGTGCTTTTGTTACTGGAGCGCCCTTTGCGCCTCACTGGAGCGAATTTCTCTAGAGTTCTCGTAGATAATTTCTCTAGTTTCTGAAGAATTTTCGGGACCCATGCTCGTTTCATACTGGATGCGAATATATGCAAGGCACACATCCTCAACGCAAGACACATTTTTCGGGACGAGAAATAGAATATCTTTGCCTAGGGTGATCGTTGGGCTGTAAAAGCTCCTGATTTATGCTCGTCTCAGCCCAAGCTACGGAACTGCTATTTCAGTTCAAAACCCATGTTAAAATGTGAACTATTTCCTTTAATGGCAAAATACTCAGAAACGAGACTGAGTTGGGGTCTATTTTGAATAGTATACTAAATAAGATTAAATTTTCTATCTATTGGTATCAGTTGTGAAACAAAATAAACGTTGCAACTTTACGAAATTTGGTATTGAAAACTGCCGATCATGATTACACACCCGCAGTTGCGCGCAGTAAATGCTGCTAACGAGATATTTGTCGCTAGCAGACGCAAGCGTTGGCAATGGATTGGTCGAACGGCGTTTTATTTGCTAACAGAGAACACTTGTTTAACTTGTAAATAATGCGGTGTATGCTGTTGTGTATTTTGCACATATTTTGGACAAGATTTTTCTGATTTTAGATTTCATTTTGACAAAAATGCTGTAGATAGGTTGACGGGATTGCATAATGAAAGGTAGGTAGTAGGTACCTACTTTTAAAACCTATATTTTATCTTGAGAGCCGAGAGGTTATCACTTATTAGTGCTAGGCTGGCTGATTTTGTATTTTATCTTCTTTTCCTTGGTTTAAATGGTTTAATTGAGATTCAAAAAACCGGGGCAAAGGTATGTAGTTGATGTTGTTATGATTTGTTTGTCAATTGTCTTGTAACAATTAGACTTCAATGTATGGAGCCTGGAGGTATTCTACCCCAAAGCTGTATAAATCCCTTGGCCCCTGCCCAGGGCCTACCTAGTCATTTTGTGACGCTCCTCCCCCCTGTTCCGTCAATTTCATCCTCGGGCTAGTCAAATCCCTTTCCATGCCACAACATCTTGTTCTGGGCTGGACGAACAACTTTATCTCATGTGGTTAACTCCCGTATACTAGGACTAGAGCACTCCCGTAGCCGGTTGCAGTGAGTGTCGGGGGGATGAGTGGTCTGTCCACTGGATGGGTCCAGCTTTAACAACCCACCAGGGCGCCAGCCCAGGCCATTGTCATATTAGTAAGGCAGATGTCGCATGAGTGGGCATATGCACGCATTTTGTTTTTACAACAAAGGATAGGCGCTACCCGCAGGCGCCCGCAGAAACTGCAATGTTGGTTGTGGGTTGGGTAAACTTGCTTTCAAGCTGTTGTGTTGTAGACAGCATGTTTTAAGTTAGGTGACAGTTTGTAAATCCATTAGTGATAAGTTTTATTCATTTTGTATGATTATTTTCCTTAGTAGAAAAAAGTGGCAGGGTCACCATCATCTTCCTTCCAATGAGGAGGGAAAGGGAGCCATTTATCACAATTTCTTCAATATGGATCCTCATAAATGTGACTTATACCAGTACCTCCTCAGGCTATTGTTCCAGCCATTTGTGCTGCAGATGGCTTTCATATGGTCTTAGTCTGACAAAGCTAGGTGCTAAGAAAGAACAGCTTTGAAGTGCAATAGTTATTGATGCACATGTCTCTGAAGATAACTTCCAACAAGGCCCTAAATACACTTCCAATACGCCTGAGATAATTTCAGTCAAATTTAAGCGCAGGTAGGCTATCCAATGTTCAATGCATGTGTTAAGTGCTTTGAGGCACCTTAGGCTTAGCTTCGTTCTTTCTTAGAGTTGTCGAACTATAGTCTCCAGTGCTCCCCTCGCCTATATCAGTTGTCTACCCCTGTACTCCTGACTCCCTCTGTCTTTCATTCATCCAGGTTACGCCAATGTTCTGCGCATACAGTTGCTGCTTTTTGGTGCGCACACACCCCAGGCACTCCATCTCGTCAACGCCTGAGAAGTTGGTGAAAGTGCCTCCTGCCAGACTTGCTGGATGGCTACTAGCTGCACTTGCTAGCTGAACTGAAGCTCTTCCAACTAGCTGGCATGGCTCTCGGCAGCTTGGCTTACGCGTGGGACGCTGCAGACGCAATCATCGCCAGCCTCACACATGTCGAAAATCAGGCAGACTACATCAGCTGCTCACTGATATGGGCCAAAGAAGGTATGGCGTGGCAGAGACAGGCTTGTCTGCTCACCGTGTGTGCAATACAGAGATATAAGCTCCTAGGACCTAGATAATTAAACAAGTTCTGTGCACTGCTTTCTCAGGTATTTATTTGCTTGCTAGATATGTGATTTGAGTTTCATCATGGACGTTTGCAATCTTGTGTACCGATGAAACCAAGTCTTAGCATAAAAGTTCGCCATTGTGTGCCTGTGGCCGGCTTTGTCGTTTGTATTGCAGGTAACTATGCTTTGTGGTTTCTGAGTTCTGAACACATTATCCTCCACCAGGCTCGTTGCTGGCGGTGGTTCTGGAGACAACGGTTCGATCCATCTGTAGGACGTCACTCGGCAAGAAGTTGTAGAGTGTGATGGTCATCCACGCGGCGCGCGTATCCAGTCACGTTGTCCAGAACCTGATTATCTCCAGGTCAGTAACTGTGTGAAGCAACGTTTCCACTGCTCGGTCAGCGGTGTCCCGCCACGTCACCAGGTCAGTGACGTGCTTACAATTTTGTGACACGTCGCCGCGTCCCTAGGTGAGCGGCTTGAGGGAACTTTGTAGGTATGTTACCGGGACGGGATGCCGGCTAATGCGGGTGCCGTTGCCAAAGTCGTGACGTTTGGTGGGTCTCGGACTCGCTCGGGCGTCATTTTCTTGAGTGAGAAATGTATTTACAGGCTAATGTACTGTTATTATAGCTAAGTGTGCGACAGGAAACGTTATGAGCCATGAGTCGTGGTCGCCGTGGCTAGTATTTTACGACCGTGGTGAACAATGTGACGGTCGCCGTGGCTGGTTTTGTGACGGCTGCCGTGACTGTTACATAACGGCCGTCGGGGCTGAAACGTGACGGTCGTCGTGAGACGTGACGTGCTGCGACTCGCTGTGTTACAGGTCACTCCGTGACTTGCCGGCGTTTGAGGCTGACGGTGTCGCCCGAACGAAGGCTTCACGGCGACAAGTGCTGCCACCGCCTGAGACCATCCGACTCCGAAAAGCTGATTGCCGGGCACGAACAAGAGGCTACAGGCATTTGGGTGCAACACCTACTCCGAGTGCCCTGTTCTGAGGCGTCATCCGAAGAATGCCGCATAGTGCACTTAAGGCTGTGTTCGGGTGTAGTGCACTGCACTGTCGGATAGGATCAAATGGCAGGCCCGTCATAAGATCTCAGTACGAAATTAAGATAGTCAGAGCCGACGTGATCGGTGGATGGTGTGCCAGGGGTGATTGAGCGTCCATGAGCGTGAGACACCTGGATCTGTGAAGGATACGCCGATACGTGTCCCGGATTCGACCCCCCTCCCCCTCCGTCTCAACGGTGTTGGCTGAGATTGGGGTATTTTTACGGACTCGCCAATGTCCTGCAATTTCTGTTATGTAATTTGACGATCATGCCGTGGTCTCATTCTGTCTCGATATGCTAATAAATGATAAATGTAACAGAGGTTGGAAGTAAGGTGTGAGTGGCTGTAACCGGCAGGTTTTGACGAGCGTGATATTTGTATCGTGAGGGCGCTAGCTGCAATCAATCGCGCGTTTTTGCTGAGCATCCGTGAGCGAGAAAATGCCTTCTCTGGAACCTAGCAGTTCAGCGTGAAATCTGTGTATCTTTGGATTATGTTATCATAACGTAATGTATTTTTGGTGTCCACTGCAGCTTCGGAACAGAAATATGGAGATTGGCTGTTTGCTGAAGCAAGGGTAAGCAATCCGTGCCAAGAATAAAAAACTATGTGAATTTAAGTATGTATTTCGCTGTATTTTCCAATTGTGTTACACAAAACACAGAAATGCGTCAACTACTGATAACACCCGGCTACAAATACTAAAATGCTTGCAATGCTATACAAGAATAGATATTGTAGATATCCTGGCGGCCGACTGGCGCGAAATGGCTACGATCGACTGCACGGACGTTGCTGGTGACTGGCGGACCAGTGAAAACAGGAAAGAAGATGAATAGCTCTAGCTCTCGTCTGCGCGCGGAAGGGCGCTGATTGGCGTGGCTCACAGACTCCATTGGCTCATCAGACTGTTATTGGTTTTCTCCCTCCCCTCCCACAGGCGTAGCCAGGTAGCTTAGTTGTGCGCGGAAGCGAGCGGCCAGAGCGGCGCTAGGTGTCGCCCTCCCAGCGACCGGGTAGTGCAGCTGGACGTGCCGCGGATGGTCCGCCTCTGATCTCTGCACACTCGGCAGAGTGCGGCCGGACACTCCATAGAGTTGCATAGCGTCGATAGGCCGTATGGTGTCGCTATCGTAATTATAAAAGCGTAAGTAGAAGGTTGAAGCAGGATAGAATTCTATCTTCTTCGAGCTTTGTTACACATAATAAGCATTGGCCGTTTCTTTACATATAATATCGCAAAGCACAGCTTTATGCGCTGGCTACGCTATGTGGCTACGCTGGCTACGATATGTGCGCGTCGGTTGCGGCAGTAATTATCGAAGAAATATATGATTTATGAACGTTTCTTGATCATAGAATGATAAAACATTGCAATGTTTGCCTGTTGTGAGAAGAAAACTCCTATACTGCCGCTCTATCGTCCGGAATTATTCGTGTTCGATTACGGCGATTCCGCCACTCTATCAGCTGATTTTTGTTTCCGAGTCACGTGACCAACCGGTGTCTCCCTGGGTGGCAGGGTCAAAAGCCCCCCTCCCCCCCCCCCCATTCGACCGCTGACAGGGTCGGCAATATATATTAGCTTCCCCTCCCCCCCCCCCCCCACACACAATATTTTTGTCATAACTCATATTATGCCGTTGTATGGAATGAAAACGGCCTGGAAAATTCGGGGCGCACTCCCCTTCCCCCCCCCCCCCACGATCAACAAGTTCTTTAACCATGCATTGGCGTGTTTGTGGAAAGATAAAGGCTGAAAATTGTGGGGTGCACCCCTCACCCACCCGGCAACTTTTCACCCACAGAAAGCGGCCTTGCCCCAACGTTTAGCCCCTCTCCCCCCCCAAAAAAAAATACGGCGGTCTGGATCCGCCAGTGCTACTGTGAAAAGGAAGAAAACCGTAACTAACATTCTGAACATTTTCCAGGAGAGCCGTTATAAAATGGGTATAAGCAAACTCGCAAGACGAAGAGGATTTCAAATAATTCAAATATAAAACCTTTTTGGCAATATAACTTCACATATTTCCGTAAAAAGCCAAAAGGTGTTTTGTCTTTTCACAGAGCAACTAGAATGGTACCCTTTGAAAAGGAAGAAAACCGTAACTACAGCAACACGTTTTCGCCGACCGTATGTGCATCTTCGGGCTTCAGTGTTGAAAGTAAAAAAAAACCGTAAGTGTGTACTTACGGTTTTTTAGCATATCACTCCTGGTCTGGAAAGCGCATTTACGGTACATATCAATAAGTTGAGCAATGAGTTGAAGAGAAATTATTTGATTTTTGAAATATGTTGCTAATTATCATAATACAAATACATGGGTACTGGTACGTACTTCACCTCATAATTGCTGGTTGATTGATTCGTCAGGTAATCTCATGAGTTTTGTCTGTTACTGTTGTCCCTTGTCGACCCAACGAACGCCCCCCCCCCCCCCCGCAGTCATGCTCATGGCTGCCAAAAATATTAATCGGTCTCAAAATACATTGTATTAGCCGTACATGTGTACTTAATTTAAACAAGAAACGCAAAAGTGCACGAAGTCGAATGGCTATTCACATGTGAGAAATATTTGGCCCACTTGGGAGTATAATAACAGCCATATCCAAATTGATCAACGCCAAATCGGGCAAAAATTAAACACATTGATAACAAAAAGCTAATCAAAGTCGACTTTGACAAACGCTAAACAAACAACATCCTTCAGAGTAAATAGCGAGCGCAGGACAGGCTATTCCCCAGCACTCGCCGACTAAGTCCAGCACCACCTGTTGACTGCCGCACGCAGGTGTGCCAGTGTGCCAGTGCCACACACCGTCCTCACTGCGCGAGGTCTCGCACAGTTCTAGCATGCTCTTTTTGCAGCTGCAGCCAAAACGGCCGCTTGTGGTGCGGCATGAGCGGCAGGAGATACTGACAGAGCTTGTCAATCTTCTGCTTGTTAACACCCCGCGGTGTCGTCCTCTGTTTTGGTGGCTCGGAGTGGTTGTAGGTCGCCTTCAGCAGCTGAAAGCCACGCCATGACTTCGCTGTGTGGCAGGCCTTGACGAACAGCCTGTCGTCTCCACGTCGGACCTGCAGGGCGCGTACGTCACGGAGGTGAGGTCGCATCCCCTCCTTCCCCAGGAGCGTCAGCTTTCGCCGGCTGATGCCGTCCTCGAACTCGAAGAAGTCGTCGGCCTTCATCGTCCGGACTCTGTTGCCGCTGTCCTCCACGACGCTGACGAAGTCCTGGTAGTCACAGAGCTGCGCCTTCGCCATCTTTTTCTGGATCACCTGATGAGCCGCGTCGGCACTCATTGCGGTATGGCCGCTCTCCAAGTATTTTACGGTGATCTTCTGTGTGGCGTTGTCCTCCTGCTGGATGTACAGTCACCAGCACTTGATACTAATCACCTCGTTTTTGTTCAGTAGTTTGAAGACCGATCAACTGTCAGTCGCGCAAGATACGTCAAACGATCCGTTTGGTCCTCCGATTTTCGAATATCTAACTTGTTTTTGTATATTCGAAGCATTTTGGGATGGGGAGCCAAAAAACCTCTTTTCTGCCCTAAAGTGTGCCCCAAGAAGTCGTAGAACCTAGCCCCGCCTCTGATCCACAGACCACTAGTGCCATCTCTTGTCAGCCGAACAAGCCGCAGAAGTAAATAATGTCACGTGACCTTTGCACACGCTACAATTACTACGCAGCTGTAGTGGGGGAAGCGGGGCGGAGGCGTGGAGAGGGACGCGATCGGTCGGCTGGGGTCAGGTCGCCGAGGTCAGAGGTCATCCGCCGGAGGGTGTTTGAGCGGTTGGGCCGTGTGGGCTGGGGCCTGCGGATTGGGGAGCGCCTGGACCTGTCTTGAAACAAGTCCTACAACGCTGTGACAGTCGAGAATATTGTGAGGAAAGAGAGAGAGAGAGAGAGAGAGAGAGAGAGAGAGAGAGAGAGAGAGAGAGAGAGAGAGAGAGAGAGAGAGAGAGAGAGAGCTAAGAAAGACTGGAGGGAAGGGATAAGGACGGGAGGAGAGGAGAGAGAGAGAGAGAGAGAGAGAGAGAGAGAGAGAGAGAGAGAGAGAGAGAGAGAGAGAGAGAGAGAGAGAGAGAGAGAGAGAGAGAGAGAGAGAGAGAGAGAGAGAGAGAGAGAGAGAGAGAGAGAGAGAGAGAGAGAGAGAAACTTAAAAGGAAAACCAGAGAGGGTAAAATGAGAAAGAGGGCAATGGGTAAATCAGTGAGAGGGAGCGAGAGAGGAAATATTTAGTTGTGTCAGCTTGTTTGATGTTTCACATGTAAAATGCAACTTTGCTTTCCATCATTACAGCCTCGGATTGGAAATTAAATCTTAGCATCCTTGTGATAAACCCACGTTGACGGGATGTGTGGTGACGTAGCCCTTTGCCCTCTGAACTTTGTGCAGTAGACTAGGTGGCGCTGAGCTCGCTGCGCTCGTGGGCACGGTGCGGCCGTGCAGCAGTCGGGCAGCGGCCCCCGCCGGACACCGATCACCAATACAGGACTACGTTATTCAGAACGCTGTGTGAGATCGCGGACCGAGATCGCGGACCCGGAAGCTGGAACGAACTCAGCCGCGGATACTAGCGGCGTAACAACTTGGCGACGAGGATGAGATTCGCTTAGTGGTGATCTCGGAAGGAAAAGTGGCGTTCTCACGGATTTGGCGTTCTGGTGGTGCGGCACCGGTGGCCGACGCGGATATACGTCACGGGGAAGTGACAGCGTCGGGACTCGGACAAACTCGCATGGCGTGCTGGATGGTGCAGTGCGCGGCGGTCGGCGCGGATATACATCACGGTGAAGTGATAGCGTCGTGCCGGGTGATATTGCTTAGTGCTTAGTTCTGCTTAGTGCTTAGTATTTTTTTATACTGCTGCATAATTTTGTGCATTAACGCTGTCAGCTCTGCCGCTGCGTTTCGCTGTATCGTTGTTGGGAACATTTGTATTGCACCTCCGTGTTGGGTGCACAGTGGTGCGGGCGGCGAAGGCGGCCGCTGGACTCTGAACTTTGGACTCTGCTCGGTGTGGCGTGACTGGTGAGTCAGCGCGGTCAGTGCAGTGTGCAGTGCCCGACCCCGGTGCAGCCTCGGGGCGGTGGCAAACATGGCGGCCGGACTGCCGAGCGTGGCTCCTTTTGCAAAGGGGATGGACTTTAGCCGGTGGCTGAAGGGTCTGGAATTCTACGCCGAGGCGATGGACATAACAGACGACCGGCGGCGGACTGCAGTCCTGCTCCATCTAATGGGGCCGGACATCCAGGACGTGTTCGACACACTGCCGGAGCCGACCGCGGCTGCAACGGCTGCAACGTCACAATACGACACCGCTGTGGCTAAACTACGCCAGTATCTACAGCCGACGTCTAACCTTATGGCGGAACGTGTAACGTTCCACCGCACGAGCATGTACGCCGGCGAGTCATTCGACGCGTACCTGGCTCGTTTGCGGGCGGTGGCTGGGCGGTGCGGGTTCCCGGCGGCTGACCTCGACCGTGAGCTCCGGGACAGGAGCGTGGCCGGCGCGACTCCACAAATTCAGGAGCGACTGTTGCAGACGGTCGGAACCAAAGGAGACAACTTTTCACTGCAAGATCTCCAGGCTACGGCTCGTGCATACGAGCAAACGCAAATGCTAGTGACGCAGTTCCGTAATGCGTCTCTGAGCACGGACGGCGTCGGACGGTCAACCACCGCATTGGACGAGCGGCCAGAGGTCGATGTGGTGACCTCGGGACCGGATCAGCTGAACGCTGTCCGGCCACAGCGCACGGCTGACGGTAACCGGAACCGCCAGCGGCGCACGGTCCGCTGCTACCGCTGCGGTGCGGCGGGACATTTTCAGCGGGACTGTCAGGAGAGCCGACGCCCGGATGAGTCAGCGCGTGCGGCACCAGCGTCACGGCGGCCGACGGGGCCGGGGCGCCGGGAATCTGACACTCGTGGGTCCGACGGGGTCAGACCGGCACCGGAGACGCGGCGGTGCTACCGCTGCAAGCAGATCGGACATCTGCGCAGTCAATGCCGACAGCGGACTGCCACGGCGGACATGTGGGGGCTGGGGCAGATAAACGCTGTTAACCTAACGGAGGCGGTTAAAATGACTTTACCGGTGAACGGGGTGGCCATCAAAATGGTGGTAGACACCGGCAGCCCTATCACTGCTGTGGGGCGGGACACGGTCATCCCGCGGCTGCGATTGAAACCTACTCAGCTACAGCTGTCGTCATTCACTGGTCACCGGATCCCTCTCCGGGGTGAGGCAGACGTCTCTGTAAGGTTTCGCGGTCGGGACCATCGACTGCGACTGGTCGTGGTGGACCTGCCTGGCGATCGCCGTCTGCTAGGCCGCGACTGGCTGCGGGCTCTGGACATCAGTGTGGGCGGCGGAGAGACGGCGGTGATGGACGTCACTCCGGACCGAGGGACGGCGGATCTGGAGGCGGTCTGTAACAGGCACAAGTCGGTGTTTGACGGCACACCGGGGCGCATCAGTGGGGTAAAGGCGCACCTGACACTGAAACCGGATGCACGGCCGGTGTCACGGCCGGTGCGCTCGCCTCCATATGCACTGAAACCGGCCGTCGAGCAGGAGCTCGACCGCTGGGTGCAGGCCGGGATCGCGGAAAAAGTCGGTCCAAACGACGCGCCCGGCTGGGGAACACCACTGGTGACGGTGCCACGGGCTGATGGCGGTGTGCGTCTGTGCGGTGATTATCGACTAACGGTAAACCCGCAGCTGCAAATGGCGACGCATCCTACGCCATCCGCCGAGGACATCTTTGCGAGCGTCCGAGGACGGCGGTTCTGCAAACTGGACCTGAAAGACGCCTTCCTGCAGCTGGAGCTCGCGGAGGAATCGCGGGATATGACAACAGTCGTCACGCACCGAGGACGGTATCGGATGAAATCCCTACCGTTCGGCATATCGGCGTGCAGTTCGGTGTTTCAGGCAGCAATCGATCACATCCTGGATGGCATAGACGGGTGTGTGGCCTATCAAGACGATCTGCTGGTGACGGCGGCGAACATGACGGACCTGTGCGAGCGCTTGGATGAAGTGCTAACTCGGCTGGAAGCTCATGGAGTGAAGCTGAAACGGGAGAAGTGTCAACTTGGACTCGACGAGGTGCAGTACCTCGGCTGGCGCATCTCAGCACAGGGGCTGCGTCCAGTACAGGAGAAAGTTGACGCAGTGATCGACATGCCGGACCCTAAGGATGTGAAAAGTCTGCGCAGCATCTTGGGGAGCATCAACTACTACCAGCGCGTGCTTCCCAACCTCTCCACGGAACTAGCGCCGCTGTACGAGCTATTGCAGAAGGGCGCCACGTGGAAATGGACTGATGTGCACAAAAACGCACTGGTCAGAGTGCGGAAACTGCTGGCAGGGGACACAGTCCTAAAGCGGTACGATGCAGAGGCGCCGCTCAAGCTCGTCACAGATAGCAGTGAAGTCGGCGTGGGAGCCGTGCTTCTGCAGCCGGACGAGGAAGGACTGGAGCGTCCGGTGATGTACGCCTCTCGGACACTCACAAAAACGGAGAGGAAATATCCAATGGTAGAGAAGGAGGCGCTGGCGGTGTCCTTCGCTGTCAAGCGTTTCGGTCAGTTTCTCTACGGCCGGAGGTGGACCCTGGTCACGGACAACAGGGCGCTGTCGCGCATCTTGAGTCCGGAGCGCGAGCTGCCAACGCTGGCTGCGGCCAGGCTCCAGCGGTATGCGCTGCAGCTCGCGGCTTTCACCTACGATGTGGAGCTACGTCCATCAGAAGACATGCACCTGGCGGACAGTCTGTCTCGTATGGCAGTGCCAGGCGGAGAGGTCGAGCCAACGGATGCTGAAGACGACAACAGCGGCGGCTCGTACCTGCTGTTCATGGACGGAGTAGCTCCAGTTCTGACGGCCAAACAACTCGCGGCGGCGACACGCCGCGATCGGGTACTGTCGCGCGTCCTGACGTACGTGCACAGTGGGTGGCCCGGACAGGTGGAGCAGGAGCTGGCCCCGTTCCGTCAGAGGCGGGATGAGCTCTCCACGGACCTGGGATGTCTGCTCTGGGGTGGCAGGACGGTGGTTCCCCACTGCCTTCGGCAACAGGTGCTGGCAGAGCTGCACCAAGGTCACCTGGGCAGCGCCAAAATGAAAGGTGTGGCGCGCCGATACGTATGGTGGCCGGGCATGGACGCCGAGCTGGAGGCCCTGGCGCGTGACTGCGCGGCTTGCATGGAAAAGCGCGGGGCACCACCGCGTGCTGAACTTCACCCTTGGGAACCGACGGACAGCTGCTGGTTCAGGGTTCACATCGACTTCGCTGGACCCTTCCAGGGCTCTTTCTTTCTGATAGTGTATGACAGCTACTCGCGCTGGGTGG